TAATGTATACAAATAAATATCGTATAATACTAATTAAAATAAATGAATAAATAGAGTGAAAAGTAAATATCTATATATACAAAATAAATATTCGGCTATTGCATTATGAATGAAGACATTTCACTGAAGTTCATATATACATAGAGGTTCCTATTTTAGGAGCATCTAAATTGTGTGTACATGTCCGGTATATCGATCTTTTAATAGCATAAACCGAAAGATCGATATACCGGACATGTACACACAATTTAGATGCTCCTAGAATAGGAACCTCTATGTATATATGAACTTCAGTGAAATGTCTTCATTCATAATGCAATAGCCGAATATTTATTTTGTATATATAGATATTTACTTTTCACTCTATTTATTCATTTATTTTAATTAGTATTGTACGATATTTATTTGTATACATTACATTTTCATTTGGATGATTTTCGCCCGAAGAGATTGTGAGACGCCCGTGTCTCAAGTGTAATGCGCGGCTTGCCGCGAGAGGGGATGAGATCCTTGAAAAAGATGGCCGTTTAGCCCATTGAAATATCGGAAATAAAAGATTATTTATTGAATCCAAGATGTGCCCTTCATGAACATTTATATATATGTTATGTAAAAACTTCTATTTAATTTTAAAATTATAGTTTCAATTATAAAATACTCTGTTAAGTCGACCACAAGATGTCGCGGCTCTCCCTATATAAACCTATTGTTTTTGTTTCCCGATATCCGGCTCAAATCTTTCTGTATATATGTAAATATGTAATCTTTTATTTTTTAATCACGCCTCAAATCAGGTATTTCTTCCTTAATTATGTCTTATGTGTATTGTGATTAAACTGTTTTATTATTATCACCATCACTGCAATATCATAAAATACTCATGTATCCAAAAAAAAATAATCATCATCAGCAAATAATAATTCTATATATTTAATTAAAAAAAACAGCAATAACATTTTTTTGTAATATATAAGAAACGAAACCCTTGATTCCTTATTGATTAAATAAAAAAATACATTAGATTAAAAATATTTGGAAATGTTTTACGCCAATTATCAAGATCTCTCTTCATTTTGTAAGAGTTTCATTAACCATGCTATATCTTCACTCGCTGAGGTGCATGAATGATATTGCAAAAGCGAATTCTTCTGGCTAATGTATATATAGATGGAAATTCTGCCGAGAGGATGTTGATATAAAAAGACAAAGGTCACCTCTCCCGTCAAAATAGTCGTCAAAGCTAAACGCCATCTATTGACAGTCGTCGTAAACTAGCGGCCTCAGGTCGGTGACAAAGCCAAAATACCAGCTTTGGTAAAAAGAAAACCGTCCACCTAGAGCCATGGTTTCGGATATATTAGCAGATTGTCAATATTCCATTATATCCCTTTTAGATGTCATGGAATAAAGTCCACCCTGGATTGGTCAGTAGCCCGAAACCATGGGCTCCAGGTGGACTCAGTTTGCCAAAACTGGTGTTGTTGGTTTGTTACCGACCCGAGTCCGCTTGTTTGTGTCGACGGTCAATCTGATGGTATACCTATCATAGCTACTTACAGTAGAAGGTTTCTACAAATTGTTGTCATAAATCTGTAGATATTTTTAATGTAGATACTTTTAATAGATCTTTAATTAAAAGAGCATATACAGTAGAACCTTCCTATAAAGGAAACCTAATTGCATAGCCAAAATGTCCTTCAGAGAGTGGTGTCCTTTACCAGAGAGTTGCTGATTTATTAAAAATGGTATTTTCGCAAATGAAAACTGTTCTTTATAGAGAGGTGTCCTAGAGCGTGTGTGTCCTCTCATGGTGGTTCTACTGTATATATTGAATAATCAATAATAATTTATTTTCCAATATATCAGTTGGCTGAACGCCAAACTTTTTCAAGGTATAACAAAATATTTATGTAAACTACAAAACCCAGTGTTATATAACGTCATATACATTTTGTTATTTACATAAATACGTTGTTGTACTTTGAAATGGTTTGGCTTTCAGCAAACTGAAATATTGGTAAAATAAATGATATTTTGATCCAATATATGCCTTTTTAATTGAATATTTTCTATGGAATGCTCTATTTTGAAAATTATAATAGTTTGTATCGTACTTTACATATATTTAGTATTGCTACCGTATTATATTTACACTTTCTTTTGCTTATCCTTAGTAAACGTGGTACAGGCCGTGAAATGGGTAGAAGTAGACGACTGCTTTTACTGTAAGTACACCACATGTCTACACATGTGAAAAACAGTTCGACTTTGCACTTACAAATGTGCCAGAACCCCGTTTGGTTACTAAACGGCTTTCAGCAAACTGAAATATTGATAAATAAATGATATTTTCATCCAATATATGCCTTTTTAATTAAAGATTCATTTATGCAATGATCTATTTTCAGAAATTTTAATAGTGTTTGTTGTACTTCACAAATATATAGTATTGCTACCGCATTATTTTTACACTATGAAAACATTAAGACGTGAATGTTTCTTTCACACATTAATCAAACTTCTACTGTTCTTACTGCGATTAAAAAAATATCGTTGGGAGGTTCACTACTGAACCAAGCCCTTCCAATATCATTTTTCCATCTCAGTAAGGACAGTATAAGTTTGATTTATGTGTGAAAGAAAGATTCACGTCTAAATGTTTTCATTTGCTGTATATAGATGGTATGTTATTGCTTTCTATGTTTACGATATGTTGCGGGGTTCTGTGGATGGATGGTCTAAACCGTTGGTTTTCGACCTCTACGACTCGGTTTCGATTCCCGCATTGGACACTTTTTTCTGATTTAAAAATGCTCCAATGGCCCCCTATTCTTTCAAAGGTCCAACCCCACCAGCGAGTTAAAGTAACCAAACGGAACTCTGGCATATTTGTAAATCCAAAGTCGAACTGCTTTTCACATATGTAGATATGTGGTGCACTTACAGTAAAAGCAATCGCTTACTTCTACCCGCCCTGATTATCATGGCCTGTACCAGGTGTACTAGGGATAAGCAAAAAAAAACCACTATGTTGCAATTTGTTGCTTATAGTTGTGTCAATTCAACAGCTGATTTCTAAAGAATTATTGTTTTAAAAAACAACACAAACGTTAATACCTCGCTACCATGTCAATATCCAATATTGTGATTAATGAACGCCGCTGGGTTCAACAAACCCATTGCTGCAAGGTCCAGTGAAGTAGTTTATACAATTACTCTGAAATATCCGAATAAACATTGTTACGATCTTTGGAATTTTTATATAACCGATATATTATCAATATATCAATAAGTGAATTATTTGCAACAAGCTTCTTAATCAATCCAAGATGTCAAATATGTACTTGTTACTTCTATATATTTGAAACTATTATAGACGCGTATAATTCTTTTAAAAATAAAACAATTTTAAAACATTATGAAACACTTCTGTTGAACCAGGCCCTCCTATTAATTTTTCCATTGCAGTAAAGACAGTAGAAATTGTTTTATTTTTAAAAGAACCATACGCGTTTTTGATAGTTTCCAATTTTCATAACAGATGACGCGCTAATGTGCTCATGGTCGGGGTATGTTTTTTTTTATTATTTTAATATATACATATATATATATATATAAGAAAAGTGCAATTATTTTCCATATATCTGATTCTTTATTCAGAATATTTTTGTAGAAACTTCCAATTTTCCAAATCTTCTTTAGATCAAATAAAATAGACATTACCTAATTGGAGGCTTAGCTAAAATCCTTTTTATTTTATTTAGCGTCCAAAAAGATTCGAAAACTCTATTCCTTACGAAAGATAGTCCAAATACTGAATCATAGATTACAATTCTATTTATTCGGAAAAAAAAAAGAAACACATGCACAAAATAGTGTACATTTTTAAATAAAGATGGCGCGCATTTATTATATATATATCATTTATCATGTGTGTGATTAGTTGTAGTGCTCGATGCAATATTTCAAGACATTTCTAACTCCGCCTTTGCCGGTCCAAAGCCCGGATGAAAAAAGAGGAGGAGAACAGTAATAGGCTCACTAAAAAACCTGGGCTCAGCTGGCCCGGCTGATAGTACCCTGTAAGGGTTCCTAATCCAGGGATACAGGATGAGTCTGTACTCCATGTTAGGAGCGGCTACACATGGCGTTTGTTCCTCATGTCAGAGACAACCATTTCTTTTGGAGCTAAGTCAGCCTGCCACTGAGTAGTGCTTTAAGTCTCAATGACAAAGGCATTCTACTTCACCCAGTCATGATGGTTGTCAAACAGACACAATCAAGGGACACAACTTGATACCCTAATAAGATTGAGTGGAGATAAGAAAGAAGAAGAAGACATTTCTACTGTTTTCCATGAGCTTATTTAAATAGGTTTTCATTAAATACCTTCACTAGTAATTCTTCTTCATTCCCGGCTATATAAAGAAACATTTGTGCCTTAATGTTTTCATTTGCTGTATATAGATGGCGCCTTTTTGATTAATATTAATTTATGCCTAGCTAGCCATGTCTTTATTTTTTTTCAGAAGGGAATTGCTCGATGTAAATATTTATATGTAATTCTACTGTCCTAAATGTTTATGTCCATTTACTTGCATTGTTTGCTTCAATACAATTTCTTAGATTCCACCCTTCAGTGTAGCAGATACAATCAGAGCTTGTATAAGCAGAATGATCCAATATAGTATTAGAGCTGTAAAGAAGCGGTCTGGTAGAATACATTGGCGAAACTGCTGGGAGGGTTTACTACAAGTATTTATATTTTTTCATCGCAGTAAGGATAGAAGACGTTTCAAGATAAAATTGTGGAAAGCGTTTATAAATTACAATTATTTTTCTGACATTAAGTTTCTCTCAAAGTAAAAATGTAGTTTTTAATAGTAGAAATTTGTTTTTGTGTAAAAGAAACATTCGTGTCTTGATGTTTTCATATCTATATATAGATGTACGATTTTGCTTTATAATAATAAAGAAAACAGTCGAATAAATAATTACCAACGACCATAGCGCATTGAAAACATCGTTTCTTGTCCGATCTCCGAAGTTGAGCAATGAAGGGGCTGGCTGGTCAGTACTTGGGAGGGTGACCACTTAGGACCACCTAATGCTGTAGGCTAATTCTCTTTTTTTTAATATATAATTGGGTACTCTGAGAGGTAATACACAAAACGGGCCACTGTGCATAGATCCAATCAACACCATATTTCGAACAATAAAAATTATTTAACAATAAAAAAAAAAAGAAATTGGTAAAGCGGTCTTCGTTGATTAAATTGGCGAAACCTCTTGGACGTTTCACCACTGATAAACCAAGCCCTTCAAATATTTTTTCGATTACAGAAAGAATAGGAAAAGTTTGTTTTAAGTGTAAAATTGACATTCGTGCTTTAGTACTTTCATTTCTTATATATATATATATTTCGCGTTATTGCTTGTAGAGGGTGTATGGTGTCAGTGTACTTGAAGTGAACTTAAATTTTATATTGATGATTGTGAATAATGAATTACACTGTCATGTCAAAACGTAAACAATGTCTTACATACCTGTAAACTTCCATTACAATCCGAGCAGTTAACACGGGAAACCAACAAAAAGAACATAGATTCAAAATAAACAAACCCTGCGTGTCAGTTGGTTGCCATGGAAACCTCACGAAATGTTTGCTATTGTTTTAGTTTTGATTTCATTTAAGTGGAGAATTCCATTTTTCTCAGTGTTGGCACATCAACTTGAAAATATAAACTACATTCATGGACTTCACTTGAGGAAGTTGTACCTTTTGGCATGTATATCGGGATTCAGACAATAACACTGAAAGATACACTCATGGACAAAACTTAAGGAAGTTGTACCTTTTGGCATGTATATCGGGATTCAGACAATAACACTGAAAGATACACTCATGGACAAAACTTAAGGAAGTTGTACCTTTTAGCATGTATATCGGGATTCAGACAATAACTCTGAAAGATACACTCATGGACAAAACTTAAAGAAGTTGTACCTTTTAACATGTATATCGAATTCAGAAAAAAAAAACTCTGAAAGATAAACTCATGGACAAAACTTAAGGAAGTTGTACCTTTTAGTATGTATATCGGGATTCAGACAATAACTCTGAAAGATACACTCATGGACAAAACTTAAAGAAGTTGTACCTATTAACATGTATATCGAATTCAGAAAAAAACTCTGAAAGATAAACCCATGGACACATCTTAAAAAGGTTGTACCTTTTAGCATGTATAAAGGGATTCAGTCTATATTTCTGAAAGATACACTCATGGACAAAACTAAAGGAAGTTGTACCTTTTAGCATGTATATCGGGATTCACAAAATTTCTCTAAGAGATACAATCATGGACAAAACTAAAGGAAGTTGTACCTTTAGCATGTATATCGGGATTCAGACAATAACTCTGAAAGATACACTCTTGGACAAAACTTAAGGAAGTTGTACCTTTTAGCATGTATATCGGGATTCAGACAATAACTCTGAAAGATACACTCATGGACAAAACTTAAAGAAGTTGTACCTTTTAACATGTATATCAGGATTCAGACAATAACTCTGAAAGATACACTCATGGACAAAACTCAAGGAAGTTGTACCTTTTAGCATGTATATCGGTATTCAGACAATAACTCTGAAAGATACATTCATGGAAGAAACTTAAGGAAGTTGTACCTTTTAGCATGTATATCGGGATTCAGACAATAACTCTGAAAGATATTGCAGTTACCTTTTTTGAAGACACACGAGATAACCAAGTGTTACACTCAAGGACATTTGAACTGGAAGTTTCAGTTAAAAGGCGATCTCCTGTGAATATATGTTCATATAAAAAAGCGTATTTCTGGATCTGTTAATTAAATAGAATTCCATCTCAAAATATTTCTCAAATGATTCTCGTATACTCGTTTCCTTTATCAAATTTTTTGTTCATTGATGAAAAGAAGGCAAACTCCCGAAATATTTTGATAATAAAATTATTTTATTTTTTTACAAATCCAGGCAGGCCTTTTTCGTTTTAAAAAAAAAATATATATATATATATATATACAGTAGAACTTGGATAATTCGAACCTCTTTAATTCGAATATTTATCTTGGTCCCTAGAATTTTTTTTTTGTACATTAATACATCAGTTTTGAAAATTTTTAATATGTATATAGTATATAATACAATTATTGCACATAATCTAAATATACGGTAAAAATGTAAATTTACAGCAACTAATGTTTTTCTTAATAAAGGAATTGATCGAAATTGTGAGATTTTTATTGTTTTAAGCCTTTTTATTCAAAACATCTTTAATTCGAATTTTTGGATAATTCGATTTTTTTTATGGTCCCTTGGGGTTCGAATTATCCAAGTTCGACTGTATATATATATATATATATTAAGTTCAATTAATTAATTATTCTCACAGAGTATGTATGTAAGATCACAGGTAAATAGGCGCTAACCGTAAGAAGATAATTTTCTCTTTGTTTACCAAAGTTTTATTTTGTTATCTCTCTTGAAAATCAATAATGTTTGATCAATATTCTTGGAATCGGTGTCTTTTTAAGTCTGAGCAAAGCCAAAATTATTAGTCACAATTTTTTATTTTAATTATTAAAACTATACTGACTTTACTGAGATGACAAAGTTACATGTATTTTTACTGTTTTCAAAGCTTATGTCCATAGTTTAATAAAAAAGAACTAAATTCTACTCTCCAATGTTGATTTATAAACAAAATCATTTATTAAAATAGTAGAGATCTAAAAAAAGCGGTATGGTAGATTCAACTAGCGAAACCTTTGGGAGGTAATTGCACATTGATAAAGAGAAAGCAAACTTTCGAAATATTTCGAGAAAAAATATTATTTTCTTTCAAAGATCCAGATATGCCTTTTTTATTTACACTATTAGCAACGATTTTTTATTTTTAATTATGAAATATATTCTACTGAGTTTACTGAGATGACTAAGTATTTTTTTAAATTATTATTATCCATAGTACACATGGTACAGATCATGATAATCATGGCGAGTATTTAGCGACTGCATTTACTGTAAGTGCACCACATGTGTAAATATTATTAGTATTTTTATATTTATTTTGTTATACAAATTCTCATTATATATATATTTATTTAAAAGATCATAGTATTTTGTAAGTTAAATATATGTTTTTTGACTCGTGCTTTAGATGTTGTACAAAATTTGAAATATCGCGTAAGTACGCCCTTGCAGCCTTAGAATAATATTTAACGCTTTGTCGAATCTTTTAATTTTTGTTCGCTCCTGACAAGGACAAAAGATTTTTGTCGAAACGATGAGACAAAAAAAAAAATAGGGCTGAAGTATCTTTAATTTGAAGATGTGAAAGCAGTTAAACTTTGCACTTACAAATGTGCTGTAAGGTTTTCGTGATTATTAAAAAAAGAAAGAAATTTGTACTTGAAAGTTACATATCGTTCAAACTATGGAATGCCATGTAAACGACGTAGATGAAATCTAGCTATTGAAGGTCACCACGGGTGAACTATCAATCAACAGTAAAGCTGTCGTCATTAGAAAGGACATAATCCTGTGAGACATAACAGGAGATGATCCGGGAAATAATGGACTCGGATAACATTGATTGTCGGAATGTACTGATACACTTTGTGGGGGTCGTTGGAAGGGTGGTCTAAACCATTTGTTTTCCCCCACTACGACCCGGTATCGAATCCCGCATTAGGCAATTTTATCTAACTAAAAAAAATGCTCTAATGGCCCCGATTCTTGCAAAAATCCAACCCCACCAGCGAATGCAATTAACCAAATGGGTCTTTAGGACATTTGTAAGTTCAAAAGTCCAATTGCTTATCACATGTGTAGATATGTGACGCACTTATAGTAAAAGCAGTCGCCAACTTCTACTCACCATGATTATCATGGTCTGTACCACGTGTACTGGAGATAATAAAAAAATGATAAACATTCTGGTACATTCTGGAGTTAGCTTACCTATAACTTGTTCAAAGGGTTCAACAAGAAGTCCTTTGCTACAGTATTGTTCTGTATTTTTGAATAATATACATTATTATACCGGTATTCAATAACAACAAAAAATTAAGAAAAATGCATCTCATGATCGTACAACTAAATGTTACTGATGGATTGCGCCATCTATCGGAATTAATTATTCTATTAAAAATCAACGATTAGTTGATATTTATTCCAACAAATGGGGGGAAGCAATCAGGAACCTTTAGTTTCATGATTGGAAGATGCCTTTTTACTTATTTATCCAACTGATCCCAGTACAATTTCACTTTTGTTCTGTTCTTCACAAAACCAAATATTCTTCAACTCTTAAAATTTTCTCTTTTCTTCTAACTCACTCATTATTTAGATAAAATTAATATATATTAGAAACTGTTTTAGACGCGTATGATTCTTTTAAAATAAAACAATTTCTAATGCCCTTACTGCAATGGAAAAATTAATGTGAGGGCCTGGCTCATCAGTGGCGAACCCTTCAAGCGGTTTCGCAATTTGTCACATCACACGGAAATTTACAGAAATACTTATATAAAAGATGTCTATCAGAAACATCAAATTGTTCCTGCGGAGAAACTGAACAAACTGCTCTTCACCTTATCTATGAATGTCCGAACTTTACAGAAGTGAGACATCGTTTGTTCCCTGATTTAAATGATCTAATTCTGTTACCTCAGCCACTTTGTCTATATAAGTTTTATGAACTCTGTAGATTAATACATGTAAATTTGTAAATATTTAATTCTATGTTGTAATTTGTTTGTTTTTTTGTTTGTTTCCTATGTAATAAGCGCAAATATTTCAACATAACGCCTGGTTGATTGATAAAATGAAAGAAATACTGTAAACCAGATGTTTTCACCTCAATATTAACATAGATAATTATTTTATTGATTTTATTTCTATATTGTGAAAATCTTCCATCAACATATCTCTATGAACACAGATAAATTATTCAATTAAAAAGTAATATAATGAACGCCACCCTTTATCAATATATTATAACATATTAATGTGTGTCAACAAAAAACTCAGTCAAACCCATACAATCCCAGTTGTTATGGACACACATTAA